CTAGTTTTGAATATTGCAAATGATATATTTATATTCCTCTGTTTTTCACGTGATAGATAAAGTGGAAATACTTTATTTTATATTTTATAAATGAGAATACTGTTAAAATGTATTATATTTTTTTTTATTTTGATTGTATAACAAGAAATAATAATTTTTTATCTTTTATTATATCCCATTTGTATACTATATGATTCAAATTTAAAATTTTTTACTTTCAACGAAATGAGATAATTATTGAATTATTTAGATCGTTTATAAAAATGTATCATATTTGATTTTAGCTCTCTCTCCCTCAGTTTTTTATTAAAAAATATAATAATTGTAATAAATAATTGCTCTTATTCAAAATATATATTTATATTCTTCCATGATGTTATAAATTTATTATTGTATTATAATGAGACATGATTGATTATTTGTATTAAAAATTTTACATATAATATTATATGTATTCACTTTTAATCATAATTATAAATTTATAATTTTAAGTGTTATAATTATATCAATTTTTTATAAATTATAGATTTAATTTATAAAATGATACTAATAAGAACTTATTAGTAAATTTAACCCTTAAAATTATTATAATTATATCATTATTATTTGGATATGTGTTTGTTAGGTATAGCCCACAAACTTAGGACATGAATACATCTTAAAATAAAAATAAAGCAAGAGGAAACTCGTTTTTGAATAAGGACTGACTTGAGTTTCTTAAGGGAATTGAACTATTATTACTTGATATTTATCGTGAAATATTAAATGGGTGATATATTCTAAATTACTATTAATATCTTGAGCCGAAAAATTAATAAATTATAATATATTTTGATTTTTCATTTTTTAATGATTGGGCATGAGAGTATTGTGGAGACTATTCAGATTCCGCTAATCGGCTGTATAAAATTAAAATTTACAATGGGCTTTTTAACCCAAAAACTATAGATTTGGGCTCCATATATAAAAATAATGTAGATAGAATGTTTAGAAGGCCGTCAATCATGTCAAGAAAACTGGGCCAAATATTTCAACTAAAAAAGTCTCCTTCTTCTAGACTGAAACCTAACAGAATCCCCGTTGCTTACTAGCATATATTTTGGGCTTGGCCTTTTAACAACTGAATCCTTCCTAACACTATTATTCTGTGCTTGGTTGTTGAGAAAATTGGGCTGGAAACAGTATATAAAGGTCGTCGTAGCATGAGGCTTTAAATGCTAGTCTATATGCTTTTAGGGGTGGGCAAAAATCAGTTTCGGTTGAAACCGAAACTGGTTTTAAAATAACCAAAAATCTTTTTCTTTAATTTTGAGAACCAAAATTGAACTGAAGTTTTCACAAACCAATTGGTTCGACTACCAATAAAATCGGTTCAATTTCGACTATTACTAAATAAATATTAATCAATTTTTTTTAATAATAAATTATATTTTATCTCATATTTTATTATATTTTGTCATATTTATCCAAATTTCAGTTTTCATGAGGCTTATTTTAGGTTTTTGATTTTTGAAAATTTCAACCGAAATCAAATCAAAATTTATTTGATTAATATCAAAATCAAAACGGTAACACTCAAAAATCATTAAAATCAAATCAAATTCATTTTTTCGATTCAATTTTCAAGTAACGCTTCGGTTATTCACCCGAATGCCCACCCCTAATGCTTTATGTGTTACTTACCAATCTCTTGATGCTTAGGGATGTTGCTTTTGAAGTTTGACTGATGGATGGATATGTTAACGGGGTGAAGACAAGTAGTTTCAAGGGTTTGAATGGTAGGTTGGTTTGCATGAGATGATCGGCCGACACGTTTATCCTTAAGAGTTAAGAATGTCATACTCAAAAAAACTTAAATCTGAAGTAAACTCCCATATTACAAAGTTTTTTTTGGATAATATAATTATCCAAGAACCTTTAATTTAACTAATATTATAAATATTTGCAAATTGTTACGTCCACGCATTGAATAAAAGCTCTAGCTTGAAGAATCCATATTATATTAGTTTTGCCAAACACTAGCTTTGTAAACAACCTTTTATTATAACCTGAGAGGCTGAGAGGAGGATCTGCCTTACATTTGGTTTAAAGCGTTTGCTCTTAAGAGTCTGATCGGTTGGACATCTGTCTTTGCCTTGGTGGTGGTGGTGGCAGCTTGGTGTGACTAGTGACTAGCAAGTTAGCGATGGGACCTGGAGGACCTGGCGGCCCTGGTGGTGGTTGGGGTCCGGGACCTGGAGGACCTGGTGGTGGCTGGGGCCCGGGACCTGGAGGTCCTGGTGGCTGGGGTCCGGGGCCTGGAGGACCTTTCGGTCCAGGTCCTGGTGGCTTTTTTGGTGGCTTATGCAACATGTTATCCTCTTGGTAAGTACTCACCTCTCCTTCCCTCTTCAAATTTATTGTCAGATGTTTCCATTCACTCAAATTCTCATGTAAATCATTCTCAATTGTTTTGAGCTGCAGCTTGTATTGCCTCTGCTGTTGTTGGTTGTTACAAGACTGCTTCGGCGGACCTCGAGGCCCTTTTGGTCCTTCCGGCGGTCCTCCACGATTCTAAGCTTTCTGTTTTTGCTGGACAGAGGTGATTCGCTCGTATTGAGTGTTGTGTGTCATCTGCTTAGAACTCTTTCTTAATCTGACTGTTCTGCATTTTATTTTGTTGTTCTATTTAATAAGTTCACCTCTGTTTGTACTGGTATTGAAGCCGGGTTTATGGCACTGTAAACGGCTCCTTTCTGGTATTACTGTTCCAATTGATGGAGTTTAATTTCGCTCTCTACCTTTAAGACCATCTTTTCTTACTGTGATTCTTTTATTGTGCCTATATTAAGGATTTTATCATTTATGACCCATGTGTACAAGTGTGTTTTAATCTGATCCTGTTGGAATGTTGTTCATGTGTTAATGTATATGAGATGTTACCTAACGCTAATATGGAAAAGGAGAAAATCAGGATTTTTATAATATTTTAAATGTCGAAATTCTTTAAGAAATTTTTATTTGTGTGAATTCCAATTTTCAAAGAGTATATTAGATTTTTTATTATTACATTTAATATTTTAATTATCTGGTATATAAATAATTATTTTGAATCCCATAACGAAATACATAAACATCACAATATAGTAATGAAATATTGTTTTTCATCAAGTTGACCTGAAAATGAAAAATATAGGAATACTTATGAAAATTTTTAAATATTTTTAATAAATTATTTTTTATGTTGATTTATTAAAAATACATTTTTATAGGTAAATACGAATTTCATTCATGATATAAACTTCTCACACAACTCACGTAAACAAATTTTAACATAGCAAAATGGATCATACAAGTGTTCACATCTAGTTCTACTTGAATCTTTTTACATAATATAATCAAACAATAAAAAAATATAGGAAACCTCAACTTTTATGCAATTTCTAAGAATATTAACTTTGGTATCAAACTAAGAAGGCTACTTAAAAAGATTAATTTCTTATCATATCACGTTTTTTAGATTTACCTAAGAAATATTTTTAGATTTAATATTATAGATAATTACTAATAAACGATAAGAATCAATTGATTACAGTCAATATTGTCAAAATCGCATTATAAATCATAAAATCGTCTGATTTTACGATCTTCAATATGTATTTCGAGTAATATTTATATTAAAATGGGATTTTCATAAAATCGTGATTTAGCAGTAAAATTGTCAATAAAATCGTTTGAAATCTCGATTTTACTTCCACAAAAATTGAAGAAAATGCTTCCAAAATCCCGACATAAAATTTGATCTCTGATCTTCTTTACTTGCTGGCCTTGCTCACTGCTCAAGCAAAGAACGATAAAATCTGTTGGAAAAAGGGAGTAGATGAGGAGAAAGAGAGCCTGAATGGAGGAGAAATGGTAGAAATGAGGGAAAATTACAATAGAGAAACCAAGGAAGCCGAAGGATTGCTCACGTCTTTGCTTACCACTCAAGCAAAGAAGTTGCTAGCCCTGCTCATTGCTCAAGCAAAGAAAGATAATCTATTGGAAAAAAAGAGAGTAGATGAGGAGAAAGTAGACCTGGCAAACG